GTGCTTAGCATAGAACTAAGGGACATCTTTAGTCTCAATTGGGTGGTCACTCTTCATCAGGCCAGCAAAAGATAAAATTTTAACCCAACAGAACCTGAATTGGGCAGGCTTGATTTTATAAACCATTTGCTGTACCCACCAAATTTTTTTTTTTTTAGTTGCTCAGTCGTGTCTGACTTTTTGTGACCCCATGTACTGTAGCCCTCCAGGCTCCTCTGTCCATGGAATTCTCCATGCAAGAATACTGGAGTGGATGGCATTCCTTTCTTCAGGGGTTCTTCCCAACCCAGGGATCAAACCCAAGTCCCCACTGCAGGCACATTCTTGATGTCTGCGCCACCAGGGAGTCTGTATCCACCAAAGAGAGATAATGAATTCAGTATCCACTTTAGTGGTCAATGTGAGTAGGTACTTGACTCAGAGGTACCAAGTGACCATGTCCCAGAATAGAGTCAGGCCTAAGCTGAAGGAAGAACTGGGATTCACTTGTGGATCTCATTCTTACTATGTGACCTGGAGGAAAGTGCTTAGTCTCACTAAGTTTCAGTTTTCCCATCTACAAAACTGGGAGCAATAATATCTACATTAACAGCATGACAAAGAAAAAAAAAAAAGAAATAACATTATAAAACACCTACAGAAAATAATATTATGAAGCACCTAGCATGAGTGCTAAAAACATTCTGGTATTAAATCTTGACAAAAGTGCATACACTCAGATATTTCATCTATTTTAGAAAGGAAAAAAGATACACTAGAGTTTAATATGCCTCTTCTGGGAGCAGGACGAGTGAGGTGAAGTGGAAAGGAAGGGGGCCAGCTACCCCTATAATTTAATGTCCTTAGATTCTCAAGAAAAGTACCAGTAAATTTGGTTCAACTCAATGTTAACGGAGAGGAAAAAAGAACAGACCTTCTTCACACCCTCACTAAATTACATCTAAGAGAGATTCACACAAAGTTACAGTCAGTGCTAAAATCCAGAAGGTTCTTGAACATTTTAAAAATTGTTTTCATATATAAATTTGATGGCAAAATGAGTCCTAAACTTGAGGAGCTTCCCTCACAGCTCAGCGGTAAAGAGTCAGCCTGCCAATCCAGGAGACATGGGTTCAATCCCTGTTCCAGGACGACCCTACGTGCCGTTGCTCAACTAAGCCCATGGGTCACAAGCCCAGGAACCACAAGAGAAGCCGCTGCAGTGAGCAGCCCAGAGCCCGTGCTCTCCACAGCCAGAGAAAAGCCCACACAGCAATGAAGACCCAGCACGGCCAAAAATAAACAAACTATTTTTAAAAATGAGTCCTAAACTTGAACTGGCTGGGGCTTCCTGGTCATTCTTGCACTGAACATAAATACTGATGAATTATATACAAGTTTCATTATGCAGTAAGGTCCCAAATCATCCTGGTGATGTGATATAATGTATGACATACAGCAGTAACTTCTAAAAATACGCAGTAATCAGAATTCCTACATATATGCAGCCCAAGAATTTCAAAGAAGAAAATCTCACCAGTTGAAACAACCACATTACTTACAATATTGAGTTCATGGAAAAGCAAGACATAATACATATAAAAAGCTTTAAACAATGTCTTGCACAAAGTGAGTAGCCAAAAAATGTTATGTCTACAAGTACCTAGAAAAAACACTTTGAACATTGACATGGAAAGGCAACAGGTAAATGGGTAGTCCACTATAAACCATACAGTACTTTAGAACTTTTTAAAAAAAATCTAAGAGTTTCCCTCCTCCTATACTCAGATGTATTTCTACTATCAAGCCTCAGAAATGATGTTAGCACAAGTCATGAAGGCAGGAAGCAATCTCAGGTGAGCCAACAAACATTTGAAACTGACAGTGTGGTAAGATCTGAAGTTCTAAATACAATAATGGTTACTTTAAAAAAAAAATCAACTATGAATGACTGGAGAACAGACTAGAAGAACGCTTTTGGAAATTAACATACAAACTAACGGGCCAGAGTTTTTGCTAAAATGCAGATTCTGACTTAATATGGCAGGGCCAGATGTTTTGTATTCAAGATCTCTGGTAATCAAAACTCTGCCGGTCTAGAAACCCAAAGAGAATAAGAAGACCCTTAGCAGTGGTCCTCAAAGTGTACAAGCAACATCAGAATCTCTTGAAAAATTATTAGAAATGCAAATCTTAAAAGAATATAAGGAGAATGTTCTCTAAATTATCTGTTTACATACAGACAGATTAATTTCTCTGAGAATTGTCATTTAGTCGTTAAGTCAGGTCTGACTCTTTGTGGCCCCATGGACTGCAGCATGCCAGGCTTCCCTGTCCTTCACTATTTCCCTGAGTTTGCTCAAACTCAGGTCCACTGAGTCAGTGATGCCATCCAATCATCTCATCTCTGTCGTCCCCTTCTCCTACCTTCAATCTTTCCCAAGATCAGGGTCTTTTCCAATGAATCGGCTCTTTACACCAGGTGACCAAAGTATTGAAGCTTCAGCATCAGTCCTTCCAATGAATATTCAGGATCGATTTCCTTTAGGATAGGCTAATGTGATCCACTTGCTGTCCAAGGGGACTCTCAAGAGTCTTCTCCAACACCACAATGAAAAATCATCAATTCTTCAGTGCTCAGCTTTCTTCATGGTCAAACTCTCACATCCATACATGGCTCCTGGAAAAACCATAGCTTTGACTAGACAGATCTTTGTCAGTAAGGTGATATCTCTGCTTTTGAATATGCTGTTTAGGTTTGTCATAGCTTTCCTTCCAAGAAGTAAGGGTCTTTTAATTCCATGGCTGCAGTCACTGTCTTCAGTGATTTTGGAGCCCAAGAAAATAAAATCTGTCACTGCTTCCACTTTCCCCCCTTCTATTTGCCATGAAGTGATGGGACCAGATACCATGATCTTGGTTTTTTGAATGCTGAGTTTTAAGTCAGCTTTTTTACTCTCCGTTTTCACCCTCATCAAGAGGCTGTTTAGTTCTTCCTCACTTCTGTCACTAAGGTGGCAATATCTGTGTATCTGATGTTATGGATATTTCTCCCTGCAATCTTGATTACTGCTTGTGATTCATCCAGCCTGGCATTTTGCATGGTGTACTCTGCATATAAGTTAAATAAGCAGGGTGATAATATATAGACTTATCATACTCTCTTCCAAATTTTGAACCAGTCCGTTGTTCCATGTCTGGTTCTAACTGTTGCTTTTTGACCTACATACAGGTTTCTCAGGAGACAAGTAAGGTGGAAAAGTAGAATACTAGAACATGTTAACTAAATAAAACAATTTCTCTCTGCAAACAATTTCCAAAACTAAAGCCCCTGCAATTATACTTAAAATGTAGGCTTTTACATGATAAAGCCTGCTGTTGATATTAATAATATATAGGTGAAGTACTGAAATGTGTAGAACCCTCACTGAACCATTTACCCACTCCTTGCAAGATAGATCAGTTCCATTTTACAAAGGTAATAGAGATAAGACTTTGTAAAGAAACCAAACTCAGTTTTTAATTTCCTTCTGTTGAGACTATAACGAACTACATCAAGGTTTAGGCAACTTCTCCAGAGTCATGTTTATACATTGCCTGACTCATATGTAAATATATGTCAACATTTTGATTTATAGCTATAGATCATCTGTTTGCATACACACAGATGCCCAAATCATTATATTAATAGTTTGAAACACAATACTGTTAAAGCACAAAAAAAGATAAAATACAAATACAGAATGTCACACATAGAGAAGAGATTTCAGTTTTCTGAATGTGAAGCCAGATGATTGCCAAGTAGGCTTTGCATAAAATAAGATTTTTTAAAAAAATGTTGCGTTCACAATTCCCACTCAGCTTTTTATTTTTTTTCAACTTTAATCAAGGTCACATCTCAGTCAGTATCTGAGTACATCATTCTGTCCTTAATCTAGTTTTGAAGGAGTAAATTACAAACAGATTGTCAAGTACCACACTTGCTTCAGTATTCGGGGTGGGCCCCCCTGATTTTGGCTAGGACCATATACACACATACACAACAACAACAACAGTGCTGTCCGGAGACAAATGATGGTCACAGCGGGGGAAGGGAGGGAGAGTAGAGTACCGCTGGCATCTAGGAAGTAGAGATCATGCAACTACCATGATGCCAAAAACAGTTCCCTGAACAAAGAAGTGCCTGGCCTAAGATGCCAATAGTGCTGAGGTTAAGAAACTGTGATGTAAACTATGGAGGTTGCAAAAATACAGAATGAACACATCTCGTGCATCATCATTACATTCCCAGCACAGTGTCAAGCACATTTAATAAATATTTATTGATTATGAAATAAACCACTTCTGTGGTTTATTGTCATTGTCAAAACTAAAAGGAATTAAAAATCATTCAGACCAATTTCCCTTTTTCAGAAAAATTTTTCTCTGGCAAAAGATGTTGTCTAATGTAATGTGTTGGCAGTGTTGAAAGGAGATAGTTTTATGAATAAAAACAAAATACATTTACAAATTAAAATGTCAGTTTTCACTTCTAAAATGTCAACGTCACCTACTTTTCTCAGATTAATAAAATATTTCCTTCATAAAAGTTAAACCAATGTAACATAAAGCATGTATGATAGTCGCTCAGTCGTGTCCGACTCCGCAACCCCACGGACTGCCGCCCGCTAGGCTCCTCTGTCCATGGAATTCTCCAGGCAAGAATACTGGGGAGGGTTGTCATTCCCTTCTCCAGGGGATCTTCCCAACCCAGGGACTAAACCCAGGTCTCCCACATCGCAGGCAGATTCTTTACTGTCTGTGTTACCAGGGAAGCCCCAGCATAAGTCATAATAAGTGATATTTCAAAGCAGGAAATAAGATAAATGCAATTATTTTTCAAAAAAGAAACCAAATCACAGACCTCCCTGATCTACAGGATTTATATTTCTGAGAAGTCAGGGCTTTAAATCGCCATAAGAAATTCTGAACTGGCTTACGGTTTTGAAACACAGGAACTGACAGTCACAGGCCAAACATACCCTTAATAATCGATTCAGCTGCATACAGATCTCGTTTGTAGGTCACCTAGAGGACAGATAAACTTCATTAGATTTAACAGAGTAGAAAGGAATGTTAAAGCAATAAAATAATGCCCCCAAGGAAATTCTTGATTTTGGAGAAACCATAAACACACAACACTGACAAGTTTTAAATTATAACAACATCAGTTTATTCAGAAAAAACTATATTTTGCTTCTACAAATGCTTGAAGACCTGTTTTTAAATCTTTAATTAATATGTTGTATGGCAGTTGTTACCAAAGTCTTATTAATGTAAGTATCATATCAAAAAAAAATGTGGTAGCATTTACATATAAGTATTAGAATTACTGTTTAATAGTAAGGTTTTTTGTGGGAGGAAAGAAGGAAAAGAATATATTTTAAAAATTACCAAATTGCATGTTCAGTTGAAATGAGATGATTCTCAAAGACCAATTCACAGTGAGGGTCTTCCTTCTGAATTGAGTTTATCTGTGTACCCCCAGATAAGGCTCACCTTTCTAATATTTTTATTAATACGTGACTGACAGAGAGAGCCTGGAGGCTACCACCATGAATGTAAGAACAATCATGACCTTTGCTTAAGAACAAACAGCCTCTTTGCAATTATAACTGATTCCGTGTATATAACCTGCCATGGTTCTATAGCAGATAGCTCTCAGGCCACATGCAGTGAGCTCAGGTACAGAGCATGTCAGATGCACTGCACTGCAGAACTGCTTTTCCTTCCTCACAGAACTGAAGAAGAGTAAATAATTAAATCTATTAGTAAGTACTCTAGGGTCTTAGGAGCTTATCATTCAAGTGCTCAGATGATTATGATGCCAGTGTCTCAAAACCCACTTTATTTTTTTTTTTTTTTTTTTTTTTTTTTTTTTTTTTTTTTTTTTTTTTTTTTTTTTTTTTTTTTTTTTTTTTTTTTTTTTTTTTTTTTTTTTTTTTTTTTNATTGATATGAATTAGCCATGGATTTACATGTACTCCCCATCCCAGTCCCCCCTCCCACCTCCCTCTCCACCCGATCCCTCTGGGTCTTCCCAGTGCACCAGGCCCGAGAGACAAGTGCTCAAAACCCACTTTAATAATTAATACCTTTTCATATCGATAATTTGGACAATTTTTCTCCAGATTATCTCCAAACTAAACTTGCACAAAAACTGTTCAGCTAAGTGGTTCACAGCACTTCTTTCTACCCAAACAGGTTTCCCTGCTATGCCTAGATCCTGGCAGGTAAACCACCCTGGCCCAAAATCTATATCTTACAACTCAGAACTAATGTAGTAGCTGACTTCTATGACAAATGGAAATTTCCTCAAGTAGTCAACCAATCTATTAAAATCAAGTATGACATTGTTAAATTATCTCTAAAACAAGCAATGCCAACCAAAACCAGTACTATAGTTACTGATCCAAAATACAGCTCTATTATCTGGGGGAAAAAAAGTAGAAAATAGACACTTAAAGCTTCAGACTATGCATTTTACCAAATTAAAGACTGTATTGATCTCATTCACTCATTCAATAAATATTTCTCAAATACTGCCACATCACAGGTTCTGTTCTAATGGCTAGAATAGAACGATGAACACAGTGAGAAAAACTTAACCTGCAGAAACATTTTAGGGATACACTTTTTTTAGAAGAATTGAATAAAATATATTTGTTTCCATGAAAACTCAAAGTTAACTAGACAGCTGAAATCAGCACTCAATATTTGCAATTTAGATGAGAAAAGGGTTTTTTTTTCCCTTTAACTGCCTGCTATTTAAGGTAAACTCAAAACAGTAATTAATGGAAAGATGCCTAATTACTATAGCTGGTTTTTCATTCCTTCCTGCTTTCTTTAAGGAATATAACTGCATTCCAAATTTAAACAGAATAATTATGAAAGTGCTTTATTCTTTTTTCAATTAAATCTATCTTAACAATGGGGTTTTTAAAATAAAGAAAACTAGTCTCAGATACTAAAATGACTTTTCTAGCATATTTGCAAGACAATGCTTATGCACTGAAATCAGTCTTAAGAATAAATATATATGTATTACTACCCAAAGGTCCTTGGGTACTACACTAATATTCAAAAAGAAACGATATACAGACAGCTAAAATTCTTTTTTTTTTTTTTTTTCTGGCTACACTGCACAGCTTGCAGGTTGTTAGTTCCTCAATCAGGCATTGAACCTGCTCCGTCAGCAGTGAAAGTGGAGTGGAGTCCTAACCACAAGACTGCCAGCAAATTCCCCTAAAATTTGAAAATTTTTTTTTTTTGGTCTACATTTTCCTATTGGCTATCAGTTCAACTCAGTCGCTCAGTCATGTCCAACTCTTTGCAACCCCGTGGACTGCAGCACACCAGGCTTCCCTGTCCATCACCAACTCCCAGAGCTTGCTCAAACTCAGGTCCACTGAATCAGTGATGCCATCCAAACATCTCATGATCTGTCACCCCCTTCCCCTTCGACCCTCAGTCTTTCCCATCATCAGGGTCTTTTCTAATGAGCCACTTCTAGGGAGGAGGGGGACACAATTCAACCCCCAGCACCATCTGTGAAATGACTCGGCAAGGTAATGAAGAGAAGCACTTGGAAAGGCCAGCTTCCACTCAGTCCACTGACATTTGTCGCACATACAATGGAAGTAAGCTCCAAGGTGTGAGGACTAAAACTGTGATTCTTTGTTGCTGGTGGAAGCAGTGAAATTTGAGATTTAACACAAAAGACACTGAAATACATCTGTGGAGTGAGTGGAAAATGCAAAGAGCTTTCCTTCTACCTGAAGACCTGAGGGTGCTTCATACATTTAAAGAAGGCTCAGAATACCCATGAGAAATAGATAATAACACAGCCCCCTCAAAAAAAATGAGCAAAGAGGCCAGAGGGTGTTGACATGTTAGTAGCAATAAATGTCTTGAGGTTTCATTTATTTATTTTTAACATAGCCTGTAAATTAAGTTTAGCAGATCTGTAGTGATGTGAGTCAGGATCTTTCACAAAACACCTAATTGGTAATTATCCAAATCCTCCCAATGAATATGTGTATCACCATCTGTCATATACAGAAAAAAATAAAAATAATAAAATGTTGACCTGATGGATTAATGACATTTGGAAACTCTTACAAGAGCAATAATACTGCATTAATTTTCTCCACCAGGCAATAAATCAGGCATGTCAATATCCTGTAATCTTGTAAGAATTTAAATATGTATGAGACAATCTTAGCATGTAGCAAGGCCCATCACATGACTGTACAAAATACCTAACACATAGGGCTTCTTTTTGTTTTTATGTCAATGAAGAAATATGCTTTTGGATTCACATTAGCTCAGAATTAGGATGAATGTTTACTAGCCAAATTTAGATGGATGCTTTATAAAGATTTCATCCACTATTTCCAAAGGAGCAGTACTTGTTCAAAATTATGATATGACCCTACAATTCTATTTCAGCATATATATTGTTCCGTTTACCACATTTCTACCCAATGAAACATAGGTGGGTCACGCTGAAAAGCACTCCAGCCTCAACAGGAACATGCAGTATGATAATGCTACAACCACTTCATTCCTCCTAAAGAAAGAAGTCTGTCATGAAGCCAGTCAAGCCTGACCATAGGAAAGAGCACAATGCCTCTTGGAGGTGGTGAGTTCTTCCAGGCGCCAGGTCTACTGGGTCAAAACTACTGCAGATATGTGCTTCAATAACACATTGAGTTGGAGCTACCATCCTCAGGACTGAGAGGAAATGCTGCGGTGAGAAGCAGAGTGGTGCCCTCAGTCCAGCTGAGAGTACGGCTGCACAGTAAAACATTACACGCCAAGAACATACACAAAAGTTGTCAACAAAACAGTCTTACTGGCTAAATGGGATCTGTTTGAGTAAACTATCCCAACATGAATTTTCTTGCAACCGAGCAACAGAAATGACACCAAAATTTGATGGATCAGAAAACCCACTGAGACTCTTAACACCTTTAATGTATATGTACACACATACTTTTATTCCTGGAAATACTGTTTCAATATGAAGCCAAATGTTTTCAAACTTCTCTATTTTCTAAAGCACCTGGAAAATGTCAGTACTTGAAAAGTATGTCTTCAGGAATGACAAATCAACACAGAGGTAAGTACCAACTTCTTTACCTTCCAGAGGTCAGGGGATCCTTCCACAAGTTTTGCTTTGATATGACTGTATTTTAGAGCCAAATGCAAACACTCAGTTCCAAATTCCAAGTCATAGTCACTACACTGGATAGGAAGAAAAAAGAATTAAGAAGTTAAAATATAATATTAAATAATCTTTCAAGTTCATAATCAACTGCATATAGAAAAGAGCCTAGAGAATTCACAAACTCTCTAATTAGCTACTGATTAATCAAGTTAGATTAATTATCTTCATGCCCTAAAAGCCAAATGAAACCAATAGAAAACAGAAATGTTGCAATCATGTTTTTAACTTCCTGAATAGTTTCGGTGAAAGTTGCTCAGTCATTTCCGATTCTTTGAGACCTCAGACTTTAGCCCGCCAGGCTCCTCTGTCCACTGGAATCTCCAGGCAAGAATACTGGAGTGGGTAGCCATTCCCTTCTCCAAGGGATCTCCCCAACCCAAAGATTGAACCTGGGTCTCTGACTTTGCTGGAAGATTCTTTACCATCTGAGTTCAGATGTCAGATAAATACAAAACTTTATTTCCTTTGCTCAAAAGCTACATTTCCAAACATATTTGTAAAATACCTAAAGGTATGATGGAGGATTACCATATCAGAACTTAATTTAACAAATATAGCTATCCATAAAACCCCAAATCTCTTATATTTATACCAAAATATACACTGGCAGGTCACATCTTTCTTGATATCTTAAATAACAACAGATCTTTTTAGATGATATATTTTGATTCTGAACATGGAACTATATCAGTCTTCCATTATGAGGGAAAAAAAAGTGAATGCCTATCATATTTAATAAAATATAAACATTTTTTAACATTTCAGGCAGAGCCATCCAAATGACCAACATAACACAATTAAATGATGGTCATTGGGTATCTATCATGTCCAAGGTTTGTTTTAAGTACCAGCATATAAAGATAAATAAGACATGTTTTGTGACCTCAAGGAACTCAGGTTTAAAAGAGGTTGATAATATAACAAATATTTTTTAATAATGTGATAGATGGAGCATTAGCAGAATATTTACAAGTAGACCAGGAGATACAGTTTTTAATTCTACGTAAGGGTACTAGGGAAGCCCCATTAGAGGAAATGGTCTCTGATATCATTCTAAAGACTTAATAGGGACTTTCCTGGTGGTTCAGTGGCTAAGACTCCACACTCCCAATGCAGGTCCCCTGAGTTCAATCCCTGGTCAGGGAACTAGATCCCACATACTGCAACTAAGACTTGGCACAGATAAATAAATGAATAAATATTTTTAAAAAATAAAATAAAGACTGAATAAAACTCAAGGATAGGAATACCTTTCAGGAAAAAACTGCCCAACAAAGATACAGACATTGCAGACATCTGCTGGATTTGCATTTTACCAACAGCACAGCCAAGACTTACCTGGTGGTTCAGATAGTAAAGAATCTGCCTGCAATGCAGGAGACCAGGGTTCAATCCCTACATTGGGAGATCCCCAGAGAAGGAAAAAGGAACCCACTCTAGTATTCACGCCTGGAGAATCCCATGTTGAGAGGCAACTGGCGGACTACAGTCCATGGGGTCACAAAGAGTTGGACATGACTGAGAAAATAACACACACACAAGAGCATATCCATATAAGACAGACTGCAGCGAGGCAATAAATATGAATGTGACATTTAGAACCATTTGCTAATCTTTACTTTATGGAAATTACAAAACCTACATTTTACTGATTTGTGAAGTTAATAATATAACAAGAAAATATAACCATAACTATATATACCATGGGTATATATAGAGTCCCAAATTAACCAGAACTGTTTCAGTTTAAACCGCTATTCTTATAAACATAAAATGACATTTTTAAGAAATGTCATGATATGTCCAATATATGATATAACATGACATTGAAGAAATTTAAGAAATTCCATCTTTAATATAGTATTATCAACACTTCAGTTCAGTAGCTCAGTCAGGTCCAACTCTTTGTGACCCCATGGACTGCAACAAGTCAGGCTTCCCTGACCATCACAAACTCCCAGAGCTTACTCAAACTCGTGTCCATCCAGTCGGTGATACCATCCAACCATCTCATCCTCTGTCATCCCTTTCTCCTCCCACCTTCAATCTTTCCCAACATCAGGGTCCTTTCCAGTAAGTCAGTTCTTCCCATTAGGTGGTCAAAGTATTGGAGTTTCAGCTTCAACATCAGTCCTTCCAATGAATATTCAGGAATGATTTCCTTTAGGATTGACTGGTTGGATCTCCTTGCAGTCCAAGAGACTCTTGAGAGTCTTCTCCAATACCATAGTTCAAAAGCATCAATTCTTCAGCACTCAGCTTTCTTTATAGTCCAACTCTCATATCCATACATGACTACTGGAAAGACCATAGCTTTGACTTGACAGACCTTTTTTGGCAAAGTAATATCTCTGCTTTTTAATATGCTGTCTAGGTTGGTCATAACTTTTCTTCCAAGCAGCAAGCGTCTTTTAATTCCATGGCTGCAGTCACCGGCTGCAGTCACCATCTGCAGTGATTTTGGAGCCCAACAAAATAAAGTCTGTCACTGTTTCCATTGTTTCCCCATCTGTTTGCCATGAAGTGATGGGACCGGATGCCATGATCTTAGTTTTCTCAATGTTGAGTTTTAAGCCAACTTTTTCACTCTCTTCTTTCACTTTCATCAAGAGTCTCTTTAATTCTTCTTCACTTTCTAGCATAAGGGTGCAGTCATATGCATATCTGAGGTTATTGCTATTTCTCCCAGCCATCTTGATTCCAGCTTGTGCTTCATCCATCCTGGCATTTCACATGATGTGCTTTGCATATGAGATAAATAAGCAGGGTGACAATATACAGCCTTGATGTACTCCTTTCCTGATTTGGAACCAGTCTGTTGTGGAATGTACAGTTCTAACTGTTGCTTCTTGACCTGCGTACAGATTTCTCTGGAGGCAGGTCAGATGGTCTGGTATTCCCCATCTCTTGAAGAATTTCCCACAGTTTGTTGTGATCCACACAGTCAAAGGGTTTGGTACAGTCAATAAAGCAGAAGTAGATGTTTTTCTGGAACTCTCTTGCTTTTTCAATGTTCCAATGGATGTTGAAAATTTGATTCTTGGTTCCTCTGCCTTTTCTAAATCCAGCTTGAACATCTGGAAGTTCACAATTCATGTACTGTTGAAGTCTGGTTTGGAGAATTTTGAGCATTACTTTGCTAGTATGTGAGATGAGTGCAATTGTGAGGCAGTTTGAACATTCTTTAGCATTGCCTCTCTTTAGGATTGGAATGAAAACTGACCTTTTCTAGTCCTGTGGCCACTGCTGAGTTTTCCAAATTTGCTGGCATATTGAGTGCAGCACTTTCACAGCATCGTCTCAGGATTTGAAATAGCTCAACTGGAATTCTATCACCCCCAATACCTTTGTTCATAAATGCTTCCTAAGGCCCACTTGACTTTGCATTCCAGGATGTCTGGCTCTAAGTGAGTGATCACACCATTGTGGTTATCTGGGTCATGAAGATTTTTTTTTATATAGTTCTTCTGTATATTTTTGCCACCTCTTCCTCATATCCTGTGCTTCTATTAGGTCCATACCATTTCTGTCCTTTATTGTGCCCATCTTTGCATGAAATGTTCCCTATCTCTAATTTTCTTGAAGAGGTCTCTAGTCTTTCCCATTCTATTGTTTTCCTCATTTCTTTGCATTGATCACTGAAGAAGGCTTTCTTATCTCTCCTTGCTATTCTTTGGAACTCTGCATTCAAATGGGTACGTCTTTCCTTTTCTCCTTTGCCTTTAGCTTCCCTTCTTTTCTCAGCTATTTGTAAGACCTCCTCAGACAACCATTTTGCCTTTTTGCAATTCTTTTTCTTGTAGATGGTCTTGATCATTACCTCTTATTCAATTTCCTGAACCTCCATCCATAGTTCTTCAGGCACTCTGTCTACCAGATCTAATCCCTTGCATCTATTTGTCACTTCCACTGTATAATCGTAAGAGATTTGATTTAGGTCATACCTGTAAGCTACATACAAGTAAATGATGCTTTAGTAAACTTTACCTGTCTCCTGAGAAACCTGTATGTGGGTCAAGAAGCACGAGTAACAACTGGACATGGAACAACAGAGCATTTCAAAATTCGGAAAGGAAAAAAAAATTCAGAAAGGAGTACGTCAAGGCTGAATATTGCCACCCTGCTTATTTAACTTATATGCAGAGTACATCATGAGAAATGCTGGGGTGGATGAAGCACAATCTGGAATCAGGACTACAAAGAGAAATATCAAAAACCTCAGATATGCAGGTAATACCACTCCAATTTCAGAAAGCAAAGAGGAACTGAAGAGCCTCTCGATGAGGGTGAAAAAGGAGAGTGAAAAACCTAGCCTGAAACTCAACATTCAAAAAAACTGAGATCATGGCATCTGGTCCCATCACTTCATGGCAAATAGATGGGGAAACAGTGGAAGAAGTGACACATTTTATTTTCTTGGGCTCCAAAATCACTGCAGATGGTAACCACAGCCATGGAATTAAAAGAAGCTTGCTCCATGGGAGGAAAGACATGACAAACCTAGACAGTATGTTAAAAAGCAGAGACATCACTTTGCCAACAAAGGTCCTTACAGTAAAAGCTATTGTTTTTCCAGTAGTCATATAGAGATGTGAAATTTGGACCATAGAGAAGGCTAAGTACTAAAGAACTGATGATTTTGAATTGGGGTACTGTAGAAGACTCTTGAGAGTCCCTTGGACTACAAGATCAAACCAGTCTATCTTAAAGGAAATCAACCCTAAATATTCATCAAAAGGGTTGTTGCTGATGCTCCAATACTTTGGCCACCTGATATGAAGGGCTGACTCATTGGAATAGACCCTGATGCTGAAAAAGACTGAAGGCAAAAGAAGAAGGAGCCAGTAGAAGATGGGATGGTTAGATAGCATCACCAACTCAATGCATATGAATCTAAGCAAACTTTGGGAGATGGTGAAGGACAGAGAAGCCTGGTGTGCTGCAGTCCATGGGGTGGCAAAAAGTTGGACATGGCTTAGCACCTAAACAACAACAACAAAACCTCCACAGTCTATTA